TGGTCGACAAGTGCCGCGCGCACGGCCTCGTCCGCCGGGTCTTCACCATCATCCCGGCCGGGTCATTCAAGAAGATGGCCAACCAGCTCGACAACTCCACGGGGGACCTCTCCTGGCTGCTCCGCGTCTCCGCCTCCTCCTCCGCCGGCGCCGGCGAGGACGACTTCGACATGCACATCGGCCTGCCCCCCATCGCGCAGAACGAGCCCATCCTCTTCCTCATCTGGGAGCAGATCGCGGTGCTCTACACGGGCAACCTCGACGCCCGCGCCGACGCCGCCGCCAGCCTCGTCTCCCTCGCCCGCGACAACGACCGCTACTCCAAGCTCATCATCGAGGAGGACGGGGTGCCGCCGCTGCTCAGGCTCGTCAAGGAGGGCCGCCTCGAGGGACAGGAGAGCGCCGCGCTCGCCATCGGACTCCTCGGCCGCGACCCCGAGTGCGTCGAGCAGATGGTGCTCGCGGGCGCCTGCGCCGCCTTCGCCAAGGTGCTCAAGGACGCCCCCATGAAGGTGCAGGCCATGGTCGCATGGGCCATCTCCGAGCTCGCCGCCAACCACCCCAAGTGCCAGGACGCCTTCGCCCAGCACAACGCCATCCGCCTGCTCGTCGGCCACCTCGCCTTCGAGACCGTGCAGGAGCACTCCAAGTACGCCATCACCTCCAAGTTGTGCATACATTCCGTCGTCATGGACAAAAAGAACAACAACGGCATGCCGGACTTGCTCGAGGAGCATCAGCATAACACAGAGAGGCACCCTGCTGCTGGAAATGCTTCCCAGAGCAAGAACGAGATGCACAGTTTGGTCCAGTCCACCATGGCCTCAAAGTCCAACTCCTCCAACTCCAACTCCAACTTCAATGGCGGCAGCAGCAAGGGCGGTAACGGAGGCGGTGCTATCGCGTCAAAGCAGCATAATGCATCACTGTCAGGGACAACCACAAGGGGCAGGGAGTTCGAGGACCCCGAGACAAAGGCATACATGAAGGCCAATGCCGCCAAGGCTCTGTGGCACCTCGCCAAGGGCAATGCTGCTATCTGCAAGAGCATCACCGAGTCAAGGGCTCTTCTCTGCTTTGCGGTTCTTCTGGAAAAGGGGGAAGGCGACGTGCAATACAATTCTGCGATGGCTCTCATGGAGATCTGCAGTGTCGCCGAGCAGAACTCCGACCTGCGACGCTCAGCATTTAAACCGACCTCTCCCGCCGCCCGTGCCGTTGTTGACCAGCTCCTGCGTGTTGTCGAGAAGGCCGAGTATGATGAGCTCCTGATTCCTTGCATTATCTCATTGGGCTGCCTGTCCAGAACCTTCCGTGCAACAGAGACTAGGATCATTGGGCCACTGGTGAAGCTTCTCGATGAGAGGGAAGCAGATGTCTCCAAGGAGGCAGCAATGTCCCTTACCAAGTTTGTGTGCACGGACAATTACCTGCGCGTTGACCATTCCAAAGCAATCGTCGATGCGGGTGGCGCAAAGCATCTTGTTCAGCTCGTGTATTTCAGCGAGCAGGCGGTTCAGCTGGCAGCACTCACCCTTGTATGTTACATTGCACACAATGTCCCAGACAGCGAGGAGTTGGCACAAGCTGAGATCCTCACGGTGCTCGAATGGGCCTCCAAACAAGCATACATGATGCAAGACCCGACAATCGAGAACTTGTTGCCAGAGGCGAAGATCAGGTTGGAGCTGTACCAATCCAGAGGCGCAAAGGGCTACTATTAGGTCACATGTGCTGTGGAGATGCATGGGAGAAGAATATTAACGGTGTTCTTCTTTACAATGTCCAAGTGCTGTATATACATCGAGTGGCTTCTATTCATACTCTGGCTGGACTTTTTTGATCCCAAACATGGCGAAAGTTGATTTACATCTTTGATTGGGTTCTTGGTACATGGAGGTAATTTTGTTCCAGGTGTCCTGGGGGGGCTTGTAGGCTCGCGCGTACAGAACTTGACTTGCTTTGTGGTGGAATAGTTTTGGGAGATTAGCATCGTGTACTCTCTTTGGTCTAAATGTTGTATCATGTACATCACATTTCACTCATCTATCAGAGAAAATTTCTTAAATCCTAGAGCCTTACATTTTTCTTGCATATGACCTCATGGTTTTGTTTGACTGTTTCTGCAAATTATGCTGCTCAGTTGGTGACTGTGGAAAAACTTCCTTCCAAGTTTTTCATGCTTGAGATGCAATTGAGAGGCTCTAATTGCATCGCTGTTCAACTGCAGCAGAGATTAATGTTCTAATGGATGGATGATCAATGTCCCAGGTACATGCTTCCATCTTTATAGCATATCTTTAGAATTGTTTCCTTTTCTTCCTTATGCACATATTCTCTCGGTGCTGGTCAATCTGATTTTTTGATATCCAATGCTAGGTTTGTAGCCAGTTTGATTTCTGAATCACTTATTGTTTTTTTTAAGCAAAAGAGGGGCCTCTCCCTCCGATTGCATATAAAGAAATCATATGGTCTGATTACAAACTACTACTACCCAAAAGAAAACCGCAAGAACCAACAACCAACATCCAGGACTAGGTCCATTACAAAACTGGAGGTACGATGAACTACCAGCTCACAACATGAACATAACATGATCCATGACCTACTAGCTGAAACTATAGGATCTCCATCTGTCAACCACCTATCCGAAGAACTCCCGGCCTCCACCCTTGCGACGCCCTGTAGACTTCATTTGCTAGTCACTCGACTAACTTTGCTCCCGTCTTCAGTGACCTTGTTTCTGGCTCATTTGTCTGCAAAATTGACAAATCAGCAATCCACGAAAACATCAGCCTCACAAGGATTAAAGGATTATTGATAGTTTTTCTTCCAAATGTAACGTCATGTCTACATCTCCAGATAGTCCAAAACATAGCAGCAACACCAACCAAAACAAAGTTTCTTATCATGTTTAGGAAACAATCTGATCCATCTACCCAAGCAATCAGTGAGCAATTATGAGTAGAATCTAGATCAAAAGCACATTTCATCAGGCTCCACATCAGGCTCCACATCAACACCTAGCAGCCAAACAAGTAAAAACAAATGGTCAATAGACTCATCCTGACCACAAAAGGCGCAACCCTTATTACCATTGCAGCCCCTTTAAAGCAAATTATCTTTAGTTAAAATGCCTTTTCTAGTCACGAGCCCCATAAAGATTTGATGTTAGCTGGGACGAATCAGTTATTGATACGAATTTTGGAGTAATTTTCCTCTAGGAAATACGTTCGATGGTCTTTTAAACTGTTTATATCTGCTTTTGCATGTCTACATGAATATACAAGTTCCTGTGCGAGCCCTATCATTGCGGATGCGATGCTGCTGAATAAATCCTGTGTGGTTGAGAAAGCCTTGCATCTTCCCATTCATGGCTCACACCCTCCTCCACATCATTTCAGGAACGGAAGGACTTCCCTGGGCTTGTGTGATTATTAGTGTACAGTGCATTAACAGCGGCTTGGATCCAGAGCTTCCTGTACATCCCATCCATGCGGGTGCACTGTGATCTAACCGGCCGATCTTTGTAGTTTTCCTATCATCCCCCTGTTTTGTTGGGGCGCATGATCCATGTTCAGGTATGTATGGATGAACATCGCTGTTGTCATTTTTGGTGCATCGATCCATCCCGTCCGGATCTGGGTCAGGTCATGTCGATCAGGTCCCCTTCTGTTTCCTGCCAACGACTCCATTTTCAGCAGCAGCGGCGGCAGCTGTGCAACAGCCAGCAACTGAATTTTGCAGGTGGTGTGATGGGTCACCATGTGGAGGTGGAGCTCCTTTTCCCCGTGGTCCGCTTGTACTCCTAGCGTATTTATTTAGCTGAAGGACCATGTTTTTCTTTTTTGAAAAGTCTAAAGGAGAATGCTTCCTGGGTGTGGTGGTTTCAGTCTCTGCCTGTCAAAGCCTGCGTTGTCACTCAAGGGTGGTATCATATCATATGTGCAGATGGGAATGTGAGCGTCGCGGTTGCGAAGGGGAACGAGTCCCTCTTATCTTGCGGATTAGTGGTTGGTGCGTGATGATGGATTGCTTGGTTGGCTGGGCTTGGTCCTTGCTGTGTTGGTTAATTGAGCTGGTGGTTTGAGGTTGTCTGCGTCTCTGATTGTTCAGTGACTTGCTGGGCTGGGTGCAGGCTGGGAAAACAAAAGGTCGACGTGCCTACAACGATCGATCGGATCCCTACTACTTTTTCTTTCATGAAAACGAAGCAAAAGACTTGAGTCGCAACCGTTATCGACATCACCAGTTGCCTCCGAATAGGCAACTTCGACTTCACCGTAGATCATTATCCCTTCATCATCGAAGCCAAGATCTCCATTATCCCTCCATCATCGAAGCCAACCCGCAAACAGCCGCATAGAAGCCACAACGACGCATGCCAACACGCGCGAGCAACTGACAGCTCTGACTTTGACGATGAGCATTGCAGAGGAAATATGCAGGACTTGCGCCGACCATGTCCTTCACAACGGACCATCGAGTGCCTGTCAACGTCACGACCTCAGGTCCTCCGCCACAGCTATGACTTCAAAGGAACCAAGCAACCCACAGAAGAGCACCTTGGACACGCGGGGAAGAACTGACTACCGAAGTCCACACCGCGATCAAGCTCCTCTTGACGCCATCATCATTGCCAAAACAGAAACCAACGCCCCGCCTCAGCAAACCATGCAACTAAGATGCTGCCATCCATCGGTCTTCCAGGCATGGTTGGCTCCGAGACAATCACCCAAGAAAGAGAAAAACACAAAGACGCCTCCATCGTTCGATCCAGTGGATCAGAGGTTTCCCTCAAGAGCTAAAGCCGTGGGGAGGAGCACAATTCCATGACAACGCTTCCAAGAAAGGTCACGACACACACAAACGCCGCCGTCGTCGGCTCCGATGAAGACCAGAGTAGGGATTTCTCCCGAAGATGCGTCGACCACCTGCCGCCATCGACTGTTGCCCATCAACCACCACCCCTACATAGAGCAACCTTACTCTGGCCGCATGATCGCTCGATCCTCGGCCCAGAACAATGCGAGGTCCGGGTTAGCACGCACCCATTTCAGCACCACGTTCGATGTTGCGAAGCCGAACATCACGTCACGTTGCTCCTCCTCGGATGCTGCCTTGTTGGTGCCGTCCTGGTGTGCCAGGACGAGGCGTCGCCGCCATGTCCGAGATAGTAGAGGAGGCGGCCGCGCGGGTCAGCGATCGCCGGGGCGGAGACCTCCTCCTCCTTCACGGCAACCGCACGCCACCTCCTTGTCGTGCCGGAAACGGTGCGGCGGGGCCACCGGCTCTGTCTTGATGTGACGTCGTTGCGGGGGCGTTGACTCCTCCTTGACATGGTGGCGGGGCGGGGACGCCACCTCCTCCGAAAACATGTTTTAGAGCACCTGCACCCATGCCCCTCTTATCTAGCTATCCATTCTCCGCATCAAGATTCGTGCAAGTATATTTCTTTTTTTTGTTTCACTCATATAGAACATGTCTGGAAGTTCAAATCTTTGCAGAACATCAAATCTTTCTAACTAGAATCTAGGATAAAACTTTTAGATTTTTTGGTCCAACATAAATATACAAAATAAGTTTTTTTTTATTAAAAAAGATCTTATTTTTAGTATTTATGTTGGATCAAAAATTCTAAAAGTTTATCCCACATTCTAGTTAGAAAGTTTTGCTGCGCTGCAAAGTTTGAAGTTCAAGGCATGTTTTATATGAGAGAAACAAAAAAGAGAAAAAATTAGTTGCATTGCACAGATTTTAAAACAAACGTTGGAGAGTCAGGATAACAGGACCAGGGTGCAGGTGCTCAAAAAAAATCTGCATTCCCACCTCCTCCTTGGACATGGCGGTAGTGTGGCGGTTAGAGTGGCAATCGAAGTTTTCCGTGCTGCAACAGAGAGGCTCTACTTGCATCGGTGTTCAACTGCAGCAGAAATTAATAATATTGTAATAGATTAATAAAATCAATGTCCCAGGCACATGCTTTCATCTTTATAATACATCCATAGAATTGTTTCCATTTCTCCCATATTCTCTCGGCGGTGGTCATTCTGATTCGATATCCAATACTAGGCGTGTAGCCACTTTTTATCTTCCGAAGTCACTTATTGATATGAATTTTGGAGTTGTTTTCCTCTAGGAAATATGCACTATGGTCGTCTAACTCTTTGTCTATGTCTGCTTTTGCATGTCTACATGAACATACCAATTCTATGTCTGCTTATGCGAACTTTGCCATTGTGGAGCCAGCGCTGCTGAATAAAATCCTTTGTGGTTGAGAAAGCCTTGAATTTTCCCATTGGCTCACACCCTCCACATCGTTTCAGGGGTCGTGGCATTGCGCTTTCAGTGCACGGTGCCATAACTGCGGCTTCGATCCAGAGCTTCCATCCATCCATCCATGTGGATGCACTGTGAGCCTGTGATCTAGCCAGCCGATCGTTGCTGTTTTCCTCTCATCAACCTGTCTTGGTGAGGGGTGCATGAGCCATGTTCAGGTATGAATATCCATGTTGTCATTTACGGTGCATCCATCCATCCATCCATCCTGTTTGGATCTTGGGCTGGTTCCATGATTCGGCTCCCCTGTTTCCTTTCCCCAGCGGGCAGGTCAGGTCGATCAGGTCCCCTTCTGTTTCCTAAGCAATTACAGCTGATGGGGGTCCTCCCTAGTTTCAGCAACGGCAGCAGCAGCTAGGAACTGAATTTTGCAGGTGGTGTGATGGGTCACCATGTGGAGCTCCTTCTCCCTGTGGTCCGGCTGTACTCCTAGCATATTTATTCACCTGAAGAACCATGAGATCCATTTGTTTCGGTTTAGAATAGCACTCGCACACATGCATGCAACTTGGGTTTCACAAACGAGTCACATGTTCTTTAACTAAATTTGCAATATTCTTCAGGATATAATCCGTCAGCGCAATGAAGAAAAAAGAGCACTTCATTGTTTTGGTTGGATTCTTGGTACATGGAGGGATTTGCCTTTTCGAACAAAATGGAGATAATTCTGTTTCAGGTGTCCTGGCGGGTTTGTAGGCTTGCCGGTACAGTATGGCTGCATAGTTCTGGGAAATTAGCGTCATGTACTCTGTTTGGTGTAATGCTCTATCATGTACAGTACGGAGTATATTACATTTCACTCATTTGTGAGATACCTTTTTCCTGCATATATTGTAGCCAGTTTATTTTTCAAATCACTTGGTGTTATGAATTTTGGAGTCGGTTTCCTTTAGGAAATGCGCTATTGGTCATTTAACTGTTTTCTTGGCCTGCTTTTTTTCTGGAGGGGTCTGTTTTTGCATGAATATACCCATTCTTGTACGAACTTTGCCATTGTGGATCAGTGGATGCAATTCTGAGTGTAAATCCTTTGTGAGTCAGGCATTTTTGTATGTTCCCATTCATGGTTCACACCCTCCACATCATTTCAGGAATGGAGCCTCTGCTTGTATGATTGGGTGAGTGGGACACCGTTGCGCTTTCTCGTGTACAGCAGCTTCGATTCCATGGGGACGCATATTGTGAGTGATCTAGCCAGCTGCCCAGCTGATCATCGTAGCTTTCCTATCATCGACCTGCTCTGTGCAAGAGCCATGTTGCAGGTATGAATGAATATCGATCGCTCTTGTCATTTTGGTGGATCTCGGGCTGCTTCCATGATCCGGCTCTACCGTTTCCTTTCCTCACCACACAGGCCAGGTCCCCCTCAAACAGCCTATAATTCCATTTTCAGCAGCAGCTAGCAACTGAATTAATTTTGCAGGTGGTTGTACTACTGCGTATTTATTTATCGGACCCGACCCGACCCGACCCCAAGGAAGGACCATGGCTGAACGCTTCCTTGGTGTGATGGTTTCTCAGACTTTGGGTCTCCATCTATCTCTTCCTTGTGTGAGGAGCTTCTGCATCGTCACTGAAGGCTGAAGGGTGCTACTCCCTCTTTCCTAAAAAAATTTCTCAACCTCATACCAACTTTAGTACAAAGTTACGCCAAATTTGAGACACTTATTTTGAGTCGGAGGGAGTATTATATCGATGCTGCTGGGAATGTGAGTTGGACAGAGGAACGAGTCTCTCTTCTCTTGCGGATTAGTGGCTGGTGCGTGATGATGGATTGCTTGGTTGGGCTTGGTCCTTGGTGTGTTAGTTAATTGAGCCGGTGGTTTGAGGTTGTCTGCATCTGATTGTTCAGTGAGTTGTTGACCTGGTGCAGGCTGGGATAGAAAAGCTCGACGTGCGTACAACGATCTTAAGTCATGTCATGTGTGTTCAAGTTTTGTCATCATCATGCTATTCTTCTATTCTTTGGTGCCAACATGTTGCTGCGAAGAAAACAACCGCAAAATTTTTAGTGGTCGGCCGTCTAAACTTGGACTTCAAAACTTGTAGTGTGTCATTTTGTCTTGCTCCTGATAATATTAGGACATACGATACATCTTGTTTCTACTCCATTTGTCCGAAAATAAGCGTCGCTGTTTTAGTTCAAATTTGTTCCTAGCCACGACACTTATTTTCGATATTGTATAAATCAGTTTGATGATACTTATTTATAGGAAGAATTTTTTTTAGAAAAGGAGGATGTATCCCCGGCCTCTGCATCTGGACGATGCATGTAGCCATATTATTAATTATTCATAAAGACCATACAAGGTGATACATCAATAAGCCTGAAGCCACCATCTTGACAACACTGTTGCTACTCATATCCCCTTGATGAAGGCGTGCCGAATGTCCGGGCCTAATACCAAACAGACAACGCACTAAAGCCTAACATCTAAAGCCGGGTGTCCCCTCCAAGCCACTACCTGGATTGGGTCCCACACCGGTCAGGCACACTCCCAGTGAGCACCGCATGCTGCAAGGGCCGTCACCTCCACCATCCCTCGATCCATCCTCAGAGCAAAACTGTTGCACCGATCTTGCCAGGCCTCTCTGCCATCAACGCCACCATGACGCCAAACAGCTTCCTCCTCCTGCGCGAGTCCATCTCCAGACGCGCCCATCGCCAAACCTCCACGGCGCCATGCCGCCAGTTTTCGCCGTCGGCCTCGCGGTAGATGTAACACAGCTCCTGCTCTTGTCCCCTCCAGCCAGCGCATGCTCCAAAACGATGCCCCCAGGAGGGACAATGACATCGAAGGTGCCATCATCATCCGATCCGGTAGACCCAGATCTAGGGTTTCCCCGGAGCTCACACCGTCGCCGCTGCTAGAGCTACACGGCACCCACCACCCATAGCATCTCTCGCCCGACCATCTGAGCCTCCCAAGACGGCGCCTCCATGGAGGTTACGACGCGCAGGGCGCCGTCGCCGCCCAATCCAGACTGAATTTTAAACTTTCGTCCGAGAGGGGTTCGGATGTGGATAGGAGGGACCTCGGCTTCGCCTCCAAGGAGGGTAACGATGTCGTGGGACACCGCTGATGCCGGACCGGACCAACCGGCCAAAGT